CATTTACATTACGTAACTGCATTATATCCTGAAGATGTTTAATAAGGATAAACGGGTTGGATGCTTTTCGCGTTGGCGTTGAAGATTTGTCACGGAGGTATTTACATCGCAAGGACAAGATGATTAGCAATGCATGACTCGATAGAACCTAAATCTGAATATTCATGTCGTCAATAATCGGAATAGTGAATGACATGCTCGGAATAAATATTGCATAATCCTACTTTTGCTGAAACCATCGTATTATCATTAAAAAAACTCATGTATATATTAAACAAAATCTACATACTTTGCGCTTTATTGGATAATCATCTAGTTCATCATCATAGTTTATCAAGAAGAAAGTGATTGAACAATCTTTCGCGCACGTTTTTTTAGCCGCGCAAATTTGTGAATTCTGATCTTTTGCACAAATTTAATTAATTTGAATTTAATATAATTTATCTGAAATTATACAAAATATGTGAAAAAAATTAATTTTTCTCTTTTCATATTTCGCAGAAAAATCTAAAACGCGCAAATAAATATACGTGCGCCCTGCATAACATAAAAACCCGATTAAACCAATGGATAAATATGTGTTATATCAATCCGGAAATAGCCTGCACATTTCAGGAAGAATAACGTAAACAGGAATAAAATTTTATTCGATTATATTGAACGGTTTCATTTTCTAAAGAGTAATGAAAATTCTTTCCGGATACAATTTGTCTTTTACTACGTATAGACGATTAATCCGATTTCTCCGATATTAATCTAATCGATCGCGGTTCTCCGCAAAATTCCGAGATAATCAAGTTAAGACATTTTCCATTCCCAGACGTCGTACGATGTCCCATAAACCGCAGTTAAATCACGGGTCATAGGGGTACAAATGAAAAAAGCGCAGCACTTGATAATTTTATCGCAATTTTCTCCTTTCGCTTCCTCTCTCCCTCTTCTGTAATTAGACGTGCAATTTTTGAATTGATTATTCGAGCGGCTCTCTCGACGGTGACCTGTCGGTCTCTATTGGAAATCGAACCGGTTAACCCAATATACGCGGAACTGCACGATGATAGACCCGCCGAAAACTGACGTATCTCACATTGCTCGTTGCCGCTGTAATGGAATTTGTTTTCCGTTCCGATGATTGACTTTAGCTTCAATGCGCGAAACGCTCAACCGGAAAATGTTCTAGCATTGTTTCCACGTGTTTCCAACTAATCATCGATGTGAAAGGGTGTGCACGATGGGTACGCTTTCCTGAAATTCGCTCCGCTGCCACAACTTGCCATGAAACAACTTTTCCTTCAAACGAGATCTCTTCTCAATCTCTCCAATATTGATACAACATCACTCACAAAGATGTCTGAGGTGTGAAAAGAGAAGCTATAATAAAGTTTCTCTTTTTCAAATTTTAATAATTTAAAAAATAGTAATATAAAGATTTACATAAAAAAAGATTTATATATATATATATATATATATATATATATATATATATATAATATATAATATAAAGATTAATATAGATTTTTTAAAAATCTCTTGATTTATATTATTTTTATGTAGCACTTAAAAGTACTTTTTGATCATATATTATATATATCATGATGCATAAATTTTATTAACAAAATAAAATCTAAATAAAATCCTATAGGAAAAATTATTGTCATTAGCGCACGTTCTCGTTCTGCACTTTATATAGTAGTGCAAAATGAGAAGAAAATATCAGTCAAGGATTTCATCTCATGATTCTGTCGCGTAATTATATATACATTTTACTTTTTAAATAGAAATTCTTAAAATTTGAATAAAAAAAAATATTAAGAAACAAATTTCAACTGAGATAAGAAGATACTTGCGAATGTTTGATATATCCTTTCGTATTTTTTCTTTTTATATTCTTCGATCGATATTGATATGAATAGAAGTAATAACTTGTAGCATCTGAAACTTTATATATTCGATGATTTTCACGAATATAAGCAAAAGTATAAACAAGACTATGTCAAGACTATGTCAAAGAAAAGAGGCTGACAGAATTGTCTCTTTTTCTTGCGAAATGTATGTAAGTGAAAAGCTAAAGCTTACGTTTTTTATCAGTTATTATACATATATTCGTTGCTATATATATATATATATATATATATATATATATTCTACTGTCGCACTATTTGTTATTCAACATTCACAGGGTTTATTCTGAGATGCAAATTTTCTTTGCCGCGATTTATTCACCCCATCTATTCTTTTCGAGATTCGCTTGATCGAATAATCGCGTCGATCATACTGACAACAAAAACAAAAGTGAGAGGGGGCGTATATTACTCGTTTAATATATTAATCTTGATTAATGATAATAAGATGCAAGTAGGAGATAAAATCCTGTATCGCGAAAGAATCAATATTTCTATTATTACAGTCGCTATAATATGAATATTTCAATTGTTGCGGAAACACCTGTTCGTGACACTCGATAAAGTGGGCTTATATAATTGACAAACGATTAATGAGGTGTTATACAAAATTCATTTAACGTCATGTTCAAACACCTCATTACGTCCTCGCCATATCGGTTAAAATGTAAAAACTGAACATTTAATAATGGATTATCTTTATTTTCTTAACTCATTCAAGATTTAATAAATATAATTCGTTATGTTTAGTTGGAACGATACTTAAACCGAAATTACGAATGGAAACTAGAAATATCATTGATGAAAATCTAATTTGTACATTATATAGGTCAATGGATCCGTTATGGGTAACGGATCTAAAATATTGCGACAGCAAACAACTTAGCAGAAACTTACCAGAAATTAAAGAGTAAAAAACCTTAAATTGAGATTTAAAAAGCCTGCTCAATTTTCCATCGAAATCGAGTTAAAATATTATCCCTATAAGCGCATGATATTATTTAATATTCTAGGCGTATTCTTAGAATATTAAATATTCTAAAAATACGCCTAGAATATTGCTTAAATATTAAATAATATCATGCGCTTATAGGGATAAAGCTTCGCATATAATATTACAAGAAGGATAATTTATATCGAGATTATGCATTTCTTTAATTAAATTTATATAAGAATATTCCATGCATACTAACATTAGAAAATTAAATTAACCAGAAGCTATCTATTTAAATTAAGTACTTAAAGATACCATTAATTGTATGTAAATAGATTTAAGATAAAGTTATTTTCAAAAAAATATAAAATGCATATCTTTTTTTTCTCTCTCTTTTCTCTTTGAAAAAATTTGATCGATTGGTTCAGTTTATTTCAATTTGTCTTCAACGAGCAGAGAGACAATAATCATAATACAATTCCAATAATCTCGCGTGACTTCTTTGTAAAAGCTTTTATTTTAGATCGCTAGCTTTTTCATTTAGAAACAAAAATAGAACATAAGAAATTGAGGGAGAGAGATATTTCAAACTGTTATAAATCATATTTACTTACAATATTCCGTTTCGATAAGAAAACGTTAAGATATATTCGTTTTCACCTTTATTTATATAATTCTGATAGAAAATTTCCCTTTTACACTCTCACTCTCTTTCTCTCTCTTTCCTTCTCTATATTTCTCTCTTTCTATAATATATCAATTACATTTATTTCAATAAATATCGTTATGAAACCAAATCACTAACCACTAAAATTGCATTCCTTTGACATGCAATCGTATTAATAATCGTCGCAAAACTAGGGCATAATGTTGAAATATTAAATTACAGAGAGAAATTAACTATTTGCAACCCAATTATTCTAAACTTTAATATCATTGATATATTCCTGATTTTAAATCGTCTATTCCTCAATAAACCATGCTCTCTCTATCACTTATTTATATATATAAATAATATATAAATTTTATAATAAACTTTAGATATATATATATATATATATATATATATATATAATTTAATTATAATTTAATTATTAAATATATATATATATTTAATTATAATTTAATTATTAAATATATATATAGGTATATAATTTAATTATAATTTAATTTTGACATAAAATATAATTTAATTTTATTTTATGTCAAAATACTTAACAAATTCTGATCTCGTTTAAAGGATTATTCGCACTGCAGACAGTGCAGATAATGTGCATTTACTTTAGTATATGTGCCTGTGCACTTGAAAAATGAATATTTAATTAAAAGGATTAAAAGCACTAGAAGACCGGTTTTAATTAATCTTATCAAAGGAATAGTCATAATAGCAGGGATTGGGCATTAGATGTGAGAAAATGCTGTTCCCGAGAACGAAGTGCGCTCCGCGTTTTGACACTTCGGAATTAATTAAATGTCCTCCCGTCGCAAGAGCTGCCACGTGGGTCCTCGTCCGGCAAATTGCCTCTAGTTGATCCTGCTGGCGTTAAAACTCACCCAAGCATCTGGATGCTGACCATCGTCTACCGTGCGAGTATTAACGTCGCGTTCTGGTTCATCCGAATTGCAAATGCGGGCTAATGGTTGCTGCACGAGCGAATTTAAGCTCATCTCTCTATCGACGCGGGGAATCGCTTTATATGTTCGCAAACGTATGGCTCCTATCAGCGTGAATATCGCGTGACATTCATAAACTCTTCCCTTTTCATGCATACTAAATCAATGCGTTCTCTATTTTTTTTTTGTTTACGAAAAATGGAAATATTCAGAGAGAACACGCGCGATTCTCCTCAGTGACAATCGCTCTTTTGCACCACGTATGTAATTATTAATTACGTGAGTCACCAAAGGATATAGAATATTTATAAACATGCAATGCAAAAGAGCATATGCAATCGTGATATTTTCCATAAAACGTTGACCAAGTTATAAAATTTTAAAAAAGAAATGAAAAAGCTAATGCAAATTTTTTATGAAAAGATCTATCGCAAGCTTTTAAGCTGTGTTAACGTAAAGTCCAATTTTGATCTCATATTATGTGAGATACGTGAAAAATAATATCTTTAAAAGAAAGATGATTAAAATCAAGAATACACGTTTGATTTCAGGAGGCGAGCAGATATAACAAACTCGGAAGAGTTGTAAAAGCGAAGAGGGAAATAAATATAGAAGAGATTCAAAAAGATACAGCCTTACCTTGCATCAATCCACTTTCGATTCCTGATAGGAAGGTCAAGAAACTCAATGTTACGACAGCTCGTAATTTCTCAACGGATTGATTGCTCCAGTTAAGTCCAAGCACTTCAGTATCGCGTATCTCGAGAATCTCTTGTCAATAAGGTAGAAAGCCTCAGCTTGTCGAACATGGGAAGTCGCAATGCCTCTGGGAACAAACCGCAACGTAGAAGGTTAGTGAAGAGAACTAAATCTTGTGGAAGAATTATCTTATAAAAAATGATCTCATCGGTAAAAAATAATTGAGCTTTGTTCTCGCACAAAATAATTAAAAACCTAGAAATGAATAATTAACTCTTTTAATGCTTCTCACACAATATTTCCTCGAACAATACTTCGTCTTAAATTAAAGTATTTACCAGAAAAGAGAATAGACATTTACGCAAAGGTAAAATTAACTTAAAATATGGTCTAAAATCTGTAGAATATTTTCTCAGTAATTAACCATTGCTGTTTAATAACTTCTTGTTCTTTTGATTTCATTTTAATTCAGTCCGACAATTTTCCGAGAAAGTCACAATTCCAAAGTCAGGAAATTAATATAAACACAAATAGTAGAGTTCACTATATTCGTACTTCCATTTTATATTTCAATTTTGCATATAACAATAATAAGACTCTAAAGTTTAAAGTTATCTTCCAAGTAGAAATAATTTAAGATTTGAAATTGGAATCACATACACAAACTAATGTCAAAGTAGTATATATCTCCACATTAAATTAAAGTTTGAATGTAAATTAAAATATAATAAAACCAATAAAAATAGAAATAATATAGAGGTCCAGATCACATAAATTAATTCATGCCAATAATTTAATCTACATCATAACGCCATACTATTGTTTTACAAAATTTTATGCCAATATTACATCAATATATTATAAGGAAAAATATATATAACATTAATTTATTGTAATTACTGTTTTAGTTTTCATTACTTTTTGTATTATTTTTTCTTTTGAGAAATTTTACCTACTTTCTTATAATTGCAAATAAAATTTGGTACGAGAAATATATATGTATACATAATATAATATATATACACGATGGAAAGTTATTACCGTAAATTGAATGTATAATATGCATTCAGCAATTTCGCGCGATACATATCAATTTTCACACAAAATACAGGGAATATATCCAAATAAGCTTTGAAATTCCGTAACATTGTAATTATCAAAAATTTTCAATTGCCCATTAATTTGCAATATGATTACCTTCATATTGGTTTATCATCGTTAATAACGATTCGCATATCTTTCTATCGTTATCGAATAATGAAAAATACAACGACCGAAGATTAATAAAGATGATTACATGCCGGAAGCAACTTTGTTGTCCCGACAAGATAATCCAATTATCGATTAATCCCATGAAAAATGCGGCGGTTTGCTTTTCCAGCACGGAGCGACGACGTCAACGCGACTGATCATCCCCGTTTTAAGGGCGAGTGATCTCTCCGTGTCGATCGTCCTGTGTTGTCCTGGCGCGACGTGACAGTCTGAAAGACATCGCGTCATGACGTCGTACGGAAGAGGACACGTCTACGAGGACGAAGGAAACTTGACCTGAAAGAAGGTCGTATAGGAGGATAAGCGCGGAATCGGTTATTGCCGCAAGAGCGACAATGTCAACGCTCGCCACGGACACGTCGCTGCCGTCCACCGCCGTCGTCGAAGAACTGACGACCGCCCTCATACCCACCGTCACCAGGATAGACACGCGACTGGATGTCAGCCCCATCTCGGTGGTTCTAGCAGTTTCCATAGTGTGTATTCTGTCACCTATCACTGTCACCGGCAATTCCATCATCCTGGCCGCCTTCTACAAGTACAAGAGACTCCGGACCGCCTCCAACTGCCTACTAGTCTCCTTGGCCATTAGCGATTTCGGGGTAAGATTATTATTTTACTTTTTCACATTATATTTTTATATAATATGCAATTTTGAAAAATAGATATATATTGTATAAACGAAAGAAAATGCTTCGAGTCAAAAATTATACATGAGAAAACAATTTATCATGAATAATTATTTAATTACTAACTCTTTATTAATTTTTTACTGAATTTTGCTGCCTCGCGATAATAGATTGACATAAAATCTATTGGCATTTTCGGATCATTAAAAATGTTAATTGATGTTTTCTACAAATATTGGCTTTACAATGCCCTTACGCCAAACTAATTTTTAATGTAATGTCAATATTGACTTTGCGTCTCTTGACAATCCAGTTTACGGGCGAATTTTCGTACAGCAGCGTAAGCGCAAATTTCCGTTTAGACCTTGATAAACGAGCTGGCTTCTCTCTCAGGTTGGTGTGTTTATGCCCTTCGGAATGCAACTGGAGCTCTCTGGTCTACCGGAAAACGGCGTTTCCGCCCTCTGCATCGTGCCGTACTGCATCATAATCGCGCTCTGCAGCGTAAGCGTTCTGGTGACGGTGGCAATCGCGGTTGATCGTTTGACTTCACTGGCGCAACCGCTGCGATATAAGAATATCATCACCCACAGTAGCATAGAGAAGTATATCGCGGTCTTTTGGATATACGCTATCGCCATCGGCCTTTCGCCCCTCATCTACGCTCAAATCACCGGAAAGATGCAGTTGCATGGGTAATGATTTTTTCTTTAAAATGTTATATTACTTACATATTGCAATATTTTTACATTAAAACAACAAATGTATTCAAAAGAGGCCAACTTATCGAGCAATATTTAAGATGTATCTAATTAACAATTTACGGGATCCAACATCATAAGATCACATTATGACGAATACTTTTATAAATATGACAATTTGTAACACGCATAAATTTCTAACAAATTCTCGACTCGTATTAACAGACTATCAGTAAATTTTAAGAATATGATGTTTTTTGTAAGAATTATAAATTACGTAACACTGTTATACTGAAGAAGACCGCGTGCTGTTGAAACGTTTATATGGAAGGTTTTTGTAATTTTAATATATTGTGTATGAAATAAAATTTAATTAGATACATCTTAAATATTGCTCGATAAGTTGGCCTCTTTTGAATACATTTGTTGTTTTATACAATACACGAGCGAATAGAAAATTTTAATTGATATTTTTACATTAAATATATTATTTGACGATATTATAATATTTATTTTTCGAGAATAATTTAAATTACTAAAAATTTTGGCTGCAACTTGTGCAAAGCTACAAGAGATTGTTGCAAGACACAAAGGGTCAAGTGTTAATCAACTCTTGTCAATTAACGAATATAAGTGACAGTTTTTGTAGTATACTCTCCTGCGTAATTCCAAATAAATCTATTATTTAGAATAATCTCTGCAGGTGATATACTCACACATAAATCTCGTGTATATTTATTATTTAGAATTACTCTGGGGACTACACTATAAGGACATTTTCGGCATTGTTCATTTCAAGTAAAACTGCTTAATTTAAGTTTGAATGGAATAGCATATGAACCGTTTAGTTATAATCCAAAATACAATACATATTGCGTACACGCATTTTATTTCTAATTCTCTAAATTCTCTTGTTCTATGTCTATAATTTTTATTTTTTGTTCTACTATATATCAATAAATTTTCACGGAAAATTTAATAGAAAGTAATAGTATACACACATATAATTAATGCGTGAATTAGTAACATTTTGGATTATTATCTCATGTTACTCTAAGATAATTTACATAGAATAGAGATAATTTATTATATAGAATTATCTGAAAAAATCAACTTTATTATAGTTGCAGATTTTATTTTCATGTCGTCCCACATGTATATCATATAGCAAACAAAATATCTCTGGAAAATTATTAAAACCAAATTTTCTTCTAGTCACGTTCCATAAACACAAAGAGAGAAAAGAATAAATATAGCTACATATAATTTTACACAGAGTCCCACGCTTCCACATGAATAACCATATTTATCCAGAAACCATCTCCAATTAATTGCTAAATCGTTAAATTACAACTGATTGCAATAAAACGTGCTTAATATACAGATACACGTTCAAACGTTTCATATACTAACAATATCTAATATTGCAAGTTACGTGACAATTTGAATTCTAGTATTATTAAATTCGCCTATAATCTAAAATATGATTTATTAAATATTCTAATTTTGTCAATATAAATGAATAAAAATAAATAAAAACAAAAAAAAACAGTTTGCATTTCGCGTAATTAAAGTGTCACAAAGGAAGTCAAGTAATTTCCTATATTTTTATATATCTATATCTTTCGCTCTCCTTCTGCAATTGTTTACTCAATGCACGATATTTGTCACATCGTAGCTTTTACAATATTTCATATTTATTAAAAATTTAAGCCGTAAATGAATTTTGTGGAAGAATGCAAAACGTTTACAAGACATAACAAGAACATTAATTCGATCAATGAACATAAATGGTTCAATTTCTTATACACTCTCTCGCGTTAATTCCGCGATAAATCTATTATTCAAAATAATCTACGGATAGTATATCCCGCGTATAAATCTCTCGGATACATTTATTATTTAGGATCACTTCTGGAAAATATACTACAGGGAACTTACGAGTTTTTGAAATTGAACAATAAAGAACGACTATAATGGGAAATTATATCTCTTCTTCTAGTAACATTTAGATGTCATAATACTTGAAAATGATCGCGGATGATAAATGCGACATTTAAAGTACATGGCAATAATTTAATTCGTTGAGCGATAAATACAAATCGAGTCAGCTTGTTCAATAAACTTCATATCAATTGAGTTAACATTTCGTTGCGATTATGATTTTAAAATGGAGTAATCCTTTGAGTGTTCAATGGACACTTGTAGCATTAAACTTTCTAACGCGATTGCTATGGATAGAATGTGAGAAACTCTATTAAAGTTCCATCTGAAAACACCTACATGATCTAGATGCGTCGCATATTATATTATTCTACGACACGTGGCACATCTCAAAAAGAATGGATATATTATACATAGAATAGCATAATAAGTAAAAGATATGCTTATGCTCTGCATGTTTAAGATTATAAGATAAAAATAGTATAAGAATAAAGATCCGCGCGAGACTTATATTTAAGTCTTGTCATTTTTAACACTCGAGTATCTATCATTTTAACGCTTCGGTATAAAAAGCAAACTGTCAAAGATCTTAACATCATCTCGTAATTGTATTTTTAATTAATTATATTTATATGTATCTTATAATTTAATTGTATCTTTAATTAAGAACGCAAATGACATTGTGATCTTATTAAAGAAATGATACTAATATTACGTGACTATATGAAGACGTGATTATACAACATAAATACTAATTACTCAATCTTTTAAATTTTAAATTAAACTGATTAAAAAAGAGTTAAAATTACTGGCTTTCATTATTTTCATATAAAGACGTATTTAATTAGTATAATTTTCTTATTATTCTTGACTTGTAATTCTTTACGACTCGTAATTCTTTGAAAGCGAACACTCGGTATTTAACAAATTAGCACGATCTCGACACAAACATAATCTCCCTAGAACAGTCAATTCCAAGTCGCACAATCTAAACGCGATATAAAAACACAGGGGGGTCTTGAATTACATCGTTGCTAGGAATTGCAGAGATATATTAACTCTGCGGTATATTGCTTATACCACCCGGCGAGACGAGAAAGTCTCTCTCACTTCGTAAGCTCGACGTGTCACAAGTTGCGCACGACCGATCAAGCGACGCGCTAAAACGTATGCTACAAAGGGCGAAAAAAAGGTTCTTTAACCCTTTGACACGTACCTTTGCGCAATCACAAAGCAACCTGGGGGAACTTGAATCGATCGATCCCATCCCCCGGTCCGTTGCACAGATCCCACGTCTATCCCGTTGCGCTCATATTGCGGACATTGCATTTATGAGATATAAATTTTTATTAAGCAGTTACATCTCCGGGAGCGTATATCCCGCGCACGTGTATCATATATTTTTTTAATACGTACTATATACTTTATATACATCCGGGTTTAAATATCCTGTGAAATTTGATACGAGTCAATGAACAAAAGAAATTATTTAAAAATTAGAAAAATATACCAGTTTGTATTTAATTTTTTATGCGATTTTTCATGTATTTCCCTATTACAATTTTATCTTACAGCGGAAGCTGCAGGTTCGACGCGGCCGTCCTACCACCGGTCAGGGTGTTTCTGTTCGTGGCAGTCTGGGCACCGAGCGCCCTAGTCCTGCTGAGCTGCTACATGTACGTCTATCTCGTCGCACGTTCACACGCACGCGCGATTTACACGGTGGAATTATCGTTCAGACATCAAACGCAAACCTTGGCGCTGCCTCGTTACGGACAAACGCTGGCGGTTACGGTCGGCGCGTTTCTCATCCTGTGGCTTCCATTTCAAGTGAGTAAACAGCTCGAGTAAAGTACGCTGCGCGAAATTGTTCGGCAAAAGGATTCTTTCCTCGCCATCGTAAAAAAAAGATTCTAAAATAACTCCCTGCAAGCTGTCGCGCGTTCGTAAAAAAGAGACGAGCTCGGAGGACGAAACTATACGGTCGCCGTGTCTGATCATTAAAGCACCTTCACTACTTATTTCACTACTTATGTTAGATGTCGACGGACGCGTGATGGCATCAATTTCATTTCACTGTCGGCAACGTAACCGCACCGGAAAACGAGATTTAAGTTAATATACTGTTCATAAGGTGCGTTATGATCAAGTAATAACTTCATATGTATAGAGAGAACAGAGAGAAGAGCAAGAATAAAAAGACTAAAGAATCACGTTATATACGATATTAACGCCGAAAAGCGATCGACATATCGAATCTGACGTGTATGATTAGTTTGTTACGTGGCTTCTCAATCTTTTCCAAGGTCGAATAAACGCTCGTGTGTATCGATTCATCTACTGCATCCTGCCTATCTCACGCCTCTTTAACTCTCGTCGCGTTATAAAAATTTATTTTATGAATTTCCGAAATTCCCCCATCTGTGCGAACGTCAGATGCTCATCTCGGTTATGGACAATTACCTCGGGACAGAAGAGATAATGACTTGTTCATTCTTTGGCGCGATCCACGCGTTGCTGCAGTAGTGCAAGCACTTTTTTTACCGCCCGTATTATCTCCGCCAGCTGAATCGGGCACGCGCAAATTTGCACCGGCAAAGAGGGTCGAGTTCTAGACATTTATTTATTATGGAACCATGGGCGTCCGCAGGGTATTTTCCAGGAAGGGCCATAATTAAAATTTTTTTGTTTCTTATTATTATATGCTTTCTTAATTTTTAAATTCAAATTTTTTATTTTAATATTTCTATATTAAATAAAATTGCAAATAAATTCCAGTGTTTAGTCACAAGGAGAGCAAATGTTTAATTTTTTTACTGATTCCAAGGGAGAGAACCAAGTGCCTCTTGGACGCCCATGTATGAGATGATCGGCTATAACGTTTATTAGTCTACGTAAAATTTCGTTTCACGGCCGCGATAAAAGACGTGTGCGTATATTTATGTGAAAAAATTAACGCGCGCCGAACAACTTGATACAGAATTCGCGTTTGATATTGTTGAATATCCTCGCCGAGAACGAATCAAATGAAATATGCCATGCGAAAAAATATCTCTTTTGAATAATCCCGTATAAAGTTTTTCGCAATTCGCTAGACAACAAAAAAGCTCCAAGGCTAAACGTTGATACGTCAGATTATCTCAGGGCTGAAATCGTTAATCAATTTCAAAAACAGCATTTGAGATAAGAAGTAACAAAGTTTTTTGATTCGGCTTGAACCAACTTGTCTTAAGTGAGCAAAAGTTTCGTTAAGCTGGGGGAAGACTAACGCAATTTATGAAATTACAGAAGCTAAAAACGGACGAATGTGACGGATGCATGCTCACAAAAAGTGAAAGAAGGAAAAACTATAATATATCGTTACTTGCCATGGTGCTTTAATGGTGTGCCCTTTGTTGTTTCCGCATTATAAAAAACAGGAATGTAATTGCAAAAATTTTTAGATCTAAAAGTGTATCGAATTCTTTCTTAATGTATCATAAATTGACATTTTATTCAAAGTTCTTTTAATAGGAACAATTCGCAATAAATCTTTGAACAAGCGTTTCATTGGTGCAATATTCAGCAGAAAATGAGTCAATAATTTAATTCGCGGTAAAAAACCAATATTTACATTCTTTTGAAAATTGACTGCGCCAAACAGGCTGCAAACGCGATGCATCGTGAAATAATTTTTATAACGTGGAATGAAAGACTTCAAAGGGACGTCTCGATGTTCGTATATCGGTTTTCGAAATTTCTTCGAAATCGATATCTTTCAGCGGTTTCATTGCAGAAACCTATCGCAAGTTGTTACATATTGCGTTTTACATCTGACAAGGATATGTCAAGCACCCTTCTCTCTCATTTTTCAGACTTGCATGCTAGTAGACATCTTTTGTGGCACCAATATCCTGTCAGAATGGTCGGTGGTATGGCTGGGTCTGCCGATTCTGGCGCACAGCGGCGCGAATCCATGGATCTACGCATTTCATCATGGTGAAATGCGCGTCGCCGCGGGAAAGATTGCTGAGGATCTGGTCGCTTTGTTCGGAGTGATGCCGAGCCGATACAGTTGCTCGCCCATGAGACGCGGCACCAATACGAACCTCGAGCTAGCCGAGGTAAACAACGATAGCAACGAGAGCAGACGGCATCCGTCCGTGGAGGATTGCTTCGCCACCGCCAAGCCGCATAACATATTTTACGCCAGCAGAAAATCTGCTTTGGAAACGTCGGGCAGGCAGACCGATATCTCGCTCGAGAAACACGACCACATCGATCACGTCGCGTCGTGCAGCAGCCGACCGGCCGATATAATCGAGGAGAACATCCACGATCTGACGAAGATGCTCGATCCGAAGTACATCATCGATCGGAACCACGTAATCGACTCTAATCATAACATCGACAAGATCAAGAATATCAAGTATATGCTGGATCCGACCTTCAACAAGATCAGACATCTTCGAAGATTGAATCACAAGCGACTGAGCGGCAAGGGTTTCCCCATCATCTCCGAGACCAAGTTCATATCTTACCAGAACCTGAAGAGCGACGGGGCGCACGCAAGTCGCAAGTTTCTTCCGCTGAACGCGTTGTCGGATCCGATGTTGAACGGCTCGAACACTTCCGTGGTGGACACGAAGGACTTCAACGAAGCGCTCCGCTGCAACAACGTCGTTCCTCAGAGACGGAACTCGAATTTGTCGTCCATGTCGGATTCCAATCTCAAGGCCACGGCGCACACTTCCGGGACGGGTATAAAACCCTTCCCAGTAAGCGGCAACAGCACGGAGAATCGCGGCTGCTCGGTACAAAATCTCAATCACGGATACGAGGCCGCGTTAGCGAGACACGCGATGATGCTCTGTCAACAACTGGAGGAACAACGGAAAGCTACCAGCAAAGTCATCTCGCATCCACGACCCAAATTTCGCGGCTACTTCGGGCGCGGAAGTCCGAACTTGAAGCTCAGGCTGCGAAGTAATTCCTCCGTATCGTCGACCTCGACGTCCAACAGCTTCAGACCGGAATCCGACGCAAATACACCTAGACGAAGCGTCTCGCCGAACATCCCGCATGTGACCATCACGTCGAACAAACTGGCTAATCTCATTAACCTGGATCCACCGTCGAGAAACGCGCACACTCATAGAATAGATCTTACTGCCAGCACCGTGACCCAAACTCGGAGAACTCTGGACGTGCTGAGGCACTCTGAGTCGATTAATACGATCGATCCGTACTCGACGCGTTGTGTAACTCTGCTGGAGCCTTCCAACTTGATGGACTCCTTGATCGTCCCGACGATACACTCGGAACCGCCGAGTCCTATCGATCCTCTCCCCTTGGCGTCCTTTCAAGACAAGGAAGCGCAGAGTCTCAAGATGCCAGGACCCGCCGTGAACGTCAACGTCGCACAACGCGCTAAGTCACCTCTAGGTAAGAAATGCAGTCCTGTTAGGCATTCAGATCCAGTGATCCCGACCGTGCTGCTGAACATCGAGGACTACAGCGAGCCGTCCGAACAAAACGATCATAATGAAACGACGGATAAAGGGAACGATCTTCTCTCGAGTAACACGCCAATCTTGGAACCGATCGATCTGTTTGAAGCGCTGCTGAAGAACTCGGACAAGGGCAAGGACGCGAGATTACCGGAGCCGATCTTCGCCGAGCACGACTCTACGCGATTCAGCTCGAGACGACCGTCCGATTCAAAGTGGTCCGAGTCCTCGAGGAGTCAGGAGATCCTGCCAAGCGTGACGGAGCACCAAACCTTCCCGTCGTCCTACTCGGTTAACGACTTTCAGATCTGCAACAGCGGCAGCGACCTCAACGACCTCACGTCCCTAGATCCGTTCATGTGTCCCGACGCTCTATCGTCGTCCCTACGCGAATCCTTCTTCAGCGCTCCGTCCGTACCCGACTCGGACATCTTCACGTCCTTCGAAGAGAGCGACGGACCGGTCTTCACGCCCGATTTCACCCCCGATTTTGAGCGTGATCCGTCGTCCGCGTACAATTCCATGTCGACGGTGAATCTGAAGAGATGCGTTATCGAAGCGACGTTTCAAAGCAGATCTACCGAATCGGTGCACCGAGTTAGATATCCGTCGACGCGATCCTGCGCGATTCTAAGACTGGAACCAGCCACGCATTCGAATAAATTACGCGTCAGACCCTGCACAAATTACGTCCTAAAGAGTCCGCCGATCAAGAGGAATCCACAATTAGCACCCCTCGCTATCCCTACACCCACCGACATCTGCACCCCTACGTTCGACGTCGTGTCGGAAATCAAGAGCGACAATGGTGTCGGTGTCAGAGTTTGAAGCGAGAGTGTGTAGTGTAAACGGGAAACGTGGAAATTTTTCTGTATTACAGAATATTCCGTACAAATACTCGCTAGTCCACAGAACTTTATTCTCTCGAAGAAATTTAAACATTGCAAATAAAATTCAAAGGCCTCTATTGGTCGTGTATGTGTCATCTAGTAATTCGTATAACGTTAATTTTTCATTACAAAATATATATTAAGTTATTAAAATATATATTTAGAAGAGAGAGAGAGAAAGATGAAATATTTTCAATGATTAAGTCTGACATTATTAACATTTCTATATCGAACCCAGTGTTCACTTTAGATTATTTAGCATACAAGTCTTTTATTTATACTTTTTCTATCACGCTTATAATCCTTCAATATATTCCTCCATTTCTCATCTTTACATTTTCAATTTCATCTGAGAAATTTCATCGATCAAATTTTTGCAATTAATTCTTGAAAAAAATTGGTGTTCTCGATTTAAAAAAAAAACATTTTAATCAAGTACAATTTTAGTTATAAGAAACGCGGTGTTATATGTGAAAATCACGGATATTACATTGTAATAAATTACAACAAACATATTTAAAGTTGGACAGATAATGTGATGTCTTTCTATATAATCTGTAATTGATACACGAACAAGAAAAAAAAACGGAAGAAAAAGAAAGAAAAAGACACACTATAATATCGCTGTTTCGATGGTTGTTCAAATTAATAAACATATTCGATGTGTAAGGAAGCGATATCAGGGATTTATCGCGATGTTCCGACAAATCCGAATGGCTGTTTTACGTCGGAATTAACACGATATTTAACAATAAATTTAATAAACGATTCGTTTGTCGACCTATCTGACCGAATCGTTATGCGTAAATAATGTTCATCTCAAAATGTGAATTAATATTTGTCGTATTGAGAGAGATAGGAGGAGATTCTCTGTGCGGTCCAAGCATTGCCTGCGACGTATATCGTAACGTGTAAATATATATACGCGCGATTGCGTATATATATTTTGCGTATATATATTTTGTATTCTGCTGAATCGATCCGCGAATTAAATGGTTATTCAGAGAAATTCTGTAAATCACAGACTCGCGGGCCAAGCGAACTGTATCGAATTCGAAAGTTTCGCAGAAGTCAAGAGTTAAGCTTGTAACATGTTATCGTTTGTGTACCTGATGAAGATGATATAATTGTTGATTAAGGAAGATCGTAAATATATATATATATATATATATATATATATATATATATTGGAGAATATTTATCAGAATATAAGTAAGAAGACGCAAAACTCGTTAAAATCTAACACGGATAATAATATGTATTGATGTTTTGCGAAGTCGACAAGTCGCAAATATTTTCGTTTGATTTCGTCCTATTTTTACGTAGATGTGTTTTTTCTGATATATGGCTTATAGACAATCTTAATATTCACTGCGTTTTTCTATCAGAAAAATAATATGGAAATTTAATTTGCTTATGTGTAGAAACATATTTTTTCAAATCGCGATTGAAGTAATACTTTTTTCACCAAAAAAATATTAATATAATATATTATATTATTGTATTTTATATATATTAAACAAAAACGCGCAAGACAAAAATTAACGAAAAGACGAAAGAAAAGACAATTATACATGATTATAGTTGGAAAGAAGGACCAAAAGAGTAAAGCAGAAGTATAAATTTCGAAGAACAACCAATAGCATTAGACGCACTGTCATTTTCTACGGGATATAGTAATCAAAATTACCATGTGTATTATTTTGTTTATAATGTTTCATTACACATTGTGCACATCTATATTGACATTTCGATTTTTCCACGAGCGTCTCATAAAAATCTCTAACTTTTGTATTACGTCGCTGTTAAAAATCGCTTTTGCTATCTCGAATGATTAGAAATATATCTAAGGGAGAATATGTAAAAGAAATCGCGTCGCAATCCTCATAACTGTATGCCAATTAAATACTAAAGTACTTTTATACATAAGATGAGAGAGAGAGAGAGAGAAGAGAGAGAGAGAGAGAGAAGAAATCACGTATAAATGTATAAATTATTTTTATCATATACTCTTATAAAATACATTTTTCAAAAGAAGATAAAAAACAAAGTTTCCTATATACTCTATGTACCTAAACAGTGTCCCGGATACTTTTGAAGCAATTTAAAAATCGACGCGCAATTTTATTGAAGAGAATTTTAAATCAACAAACGTGAGCAAATATAGACAGCTAGAAACAACGTTAATTTTTTACTCATACTCATGCATTGACTGATTTTTGCACGATTTGTCTTCCATACATAAAAGTTATAAATAGATACAAGATTTGATATTCCAGCTTCAATTTTTTTTCCTTCTGATTCTTGCGGTAACATAATGACAAGTGTTGTGACGATAAATACTTTTTGATGATCTCTTCTGATTGTAAGTGTAAATAGATATATGTATATATTAATTACGAAAAAAATAAATCTCTATCGAATACAAGAAAATATCAAAGAAGTGAATTTTTAATACAGAGTTGTGAAAATGTCCTTAAAATATATATATCTTACGATACTTGATCATTACTTTACGTGCAGAGATTTATTAGCACTAAAATTTCCGTAATCTTTTTATGTGGGACACCGTTATATAATACAAATTCTGTAAGAATAAAACTCCAGTATTTACGGAAATGACAGGCACTGATATATTTTTATGAAGTACCTTTATTGTTGTTTATAGATGTTAAGCGTGAGAGTGTATAAAAGCTTCGATTTGCGCGCAAAATATATACGACTTTTGATCGAAAAAGGGTCGAGAAAAGTGTGTGTATATCTTACCTTCTTATTTACACATGAATATGATTTCAAAATAAATAATCGTTTTTCATCATATATAAGCCAAGCATATACGAACACGAGACACTAAGGAAATATATTGATTTTAAAAAAATAAAACTTTTTCTTAAAAAACAAAAAAATTTATAGATCGTATTCAAACTCTTATATTTTTTTATTCGCCTAAGTAAAATCAAATATATATGTGTCTCATGTTAATATAATATAATGCTTTTGACTTATATGAAATTTTCCGAAAATATATCAAAGTGCAACAAATTTCAATGCAATGAAAATAAAGAAATAATAATAAATATTACCTGGTTATAATTCTGTTATGGTTCGATTATTGATTGTCGAAGAATTATATATACTTTATCGTCGTTTTTACGAAAAAACCACGTCGAAATAATCGAAGATCGAAGATACGAAGAAGATCACATCCGAACACTGTAATTATACACATATATGTTTTTGTATATACAAGAGGAAAAATAATATATTAAATTAGATCCGGACAAGTGAAGAATTTTGTTACCTAGCACATATATATAAGTCCACGAATTGTATTTCCCTGATGATCCTTTTCTTTTCTCGATGTAATTGATCGAATTCTGTAAGAATTATAGATGATTATTCGATCTGCGATATATATTTTAAGTATTTTATAGCGCAAATTTTTCATTCGACTTTAATGTATGATGGATAACGTACAACATGAAATTTGCAACATTTAAATTCAAAACGGCGTGAAAAGTGGGGAAACGACAATGTTATCCAGTGCGTACTTCACTGTCTTCACTGTTTGTTTTGTTTCGTTGTCAGATCGCGAAAGTCGTTCGAAGGTTTAGGTTTAGGCAAGACGTACGTCGCAATTACGTGGCGAAAATCAAAAATTGTGATATTCCGTTTAGTCAGGTAAACGAATTAATTTATATATTTATTGTAAGCAGTGATGATAAACATTTCTTGAGAGAGTAGACGATCTATATCGATTTATATTCAGGAGCTTTCATGTGCAAAATATATTGTCTTCTTATTCTGTAGGATATAAATGTTAATTTCTAGCAGTTTTACTGTGAAAATTCAATATATTCTCTAACTAACATATCAATGCAATCTCAAATAATAATTGCTTTATTTAATCTAATAATCTTCAGTTGCCTAATTTGAAGAATAAATCAAAATGTGTAACCTTAAATAATATATAATTCTATTTATTTATGTGTATTTTATTGTGTATGTTTCTAGATTAGACAAATAAACTATGGACTCAGAATACGTAATAGAAGGCACCGCAAGGATCACTGCACAAAATATGCCAAATTCTGGTGTGTTAAAATGCATTTGTTACAGACCACATTCTAATATCATATGCAATGGCTGTGGATTTTGGACAAAAGGAAGAGTACGATATTGCTGCCCTCAACATCCCAAGGTAGCATAATATTATTTTTATTCTTATATCTGAGTAGAATAACATGTCTTTTTTTACTTCTTTTTGTTTTGAATCTTCCAGTAGTTCTTTATATTTATTTAAGATGAAAAATTTATGAAAAGCATTACTAAAACAGTAGTAGTTTTAACATTTTAATTAATGTATTTTTTCTCTTTTATTTTATAGATTGTTTTCCTGTATGATTATGCTCAATGTCCACGCTGTAGAAGCTACGATTTTATGCTCACGGAGATCTAAAACTATAATATAATTCCATTTCATTAGGTTAATTAGAGTTATAAATTTGTTCTAATTATAGTTAACTAAATTGATAAGGATACACAATTTAAGTGAGATTACATATAATATAGTAGTTAATGTAGATAATGGTTGATATAAGTATATCTATATAGTAATTTTAATATAAGTATATGAAAAGTCAAATACTGTGACAGTAAGTTTATCTTAAACAAATCAAAGTATTTTTATATATTTGTAACAGAGATTAATACTGAGAGTTACATATATATGTTGACGTATCTGATTAGAGTGACTATCAAAATGTTTAATGTATATATGTCAATAGTGTTTATTTTTTGCACAATAATGATATTAAAAAAATATTATCTCTAAATATCATAAGCTTAGTGTGTAATTTGCACTATTAATATTACAACTGATATTTTTACACACAATAAAATGTTACCATTTTTACTATGAATAATAATATAATAATACTCTTAATACATTTTGATAGTAGACTCTAATAAGAATAAGTGTTTTGCGTTAAGAAATTGATATTAGCTTGTTATTAAAGAATTAATTTTTTTTTAATTTAATATGATATATATTTAGAAAAGTTCAAGACTGACAAGCATAAAATAACTATAACAAATATGTAATTTGGAAAAACCAAAGATGTAAACTTTCATGTATAATTACTTGCGTATAATAAAATGCTATTTTATAAACGACAATATATATCTTCCATCATGTCAAATTATGTTTTAGGTACTTGCCATAAAATGTTTGTACAATCTCTATACTTATTACATTATTAAAATTTATATATAACACAAATAATATAAGGAATATTTTTCCAAAGGCAATTATAAGTCATATAGTATTGTTTTGTTTTCTTTTGATTTCTTATATTTTCTTTGTCTAATGTAAGAAATGTCCTTCATAAATCCCGCCAAACTATGTCAACTCATATGCTAAACATTTCATTGGTCAACCTTATGCAATTTGTGCCAATCAGTGAAGCCTCATTTATAAAGGTCTGTTCTTTTCAGCTGAACTGGCTACACAATTCAGAAGTTATCTTTTTCTTTCCACTGTCGAGCAAAAAAGACAACCTCTGAACTAGTGTAGCCAGTTCAGCTGAAAAGAACAGACCTAATAACACATAGTAACAGCTGTCATTAAATGTAAGTGTGCATAGATGCAGTGTGCAGTCAAAATAGGAAAAAGATAAAACCTTTATAATCTATCTTTATAAGTATAATCAAAGTGAGAGAAAACAGAATTTTGCAAACATTGGTAATTTTTAATTTTTTCAAAGCTAAATTTTATTTTTATCGTATTTTTAACTCTGGAATCTCTAAAATGCCGGTAATATTACAATAAATTGACATTATTGAAATATATATATATATATATGATATATGATATATGTTTATTGTGTTCTTATAAAAATATTTTAATAGTTTTTTATATTTAAAATAGTACATTAAATTTTTTGTTTTTCTTTATAATACATTGCAATCAATTTTATAAATATTTGAGTGATAACTGGAGAATAATAGTAAAAATTTGAACTGTAGTAAAAATGGCACTCAGTACACAAGATTCTAATATTGATGGGGAAGAAGATTTGCAAGCAATCAATGGTATGGAGTCAGAGAAGCTACATTATTTCTTGTCGACGCAACATATAAAATGTTTGAAGTAGAACCAGAAGTCAAACCAACCTCAAACCAAAAAAAAAAAGCCCAATTCAATCATTTTCAAGGTTAGATATACTGCATATTGTTTGATTAATGACTTACTAATAACTTTATAAAGAATTGATTTTCATTAATCATAATTGTTTCAGCTATATAAGCAAATTCTTCGACAGAAACTAGCATGGAGTATGAAAGATTGGATGGGTGTAGTGTTATTTGGTACTGAAGAAAGTGATGCAAACTCAGAATGGAAACATATTCAAAATTTACAAGAACTACGAGCTGTTACCTTGGATGATTTAAAACAAATTAGAAAACTAAGTAAGGATAATTACAACTAAGCAATAAATACAGTGTACTCTAATACATAATTTTTAGCTAATGATTTTATGAATTTCTTATAAATTCTCAGCTAAAAGTGGCATAAAAGGTTATCGGAGTATGGAATCTAAGGATGCTTACCCTCTTCACGATGCATTAGCATACGCCATGGATATTTTCTTGAAAATAAAAACGGTTCTTACCAAACGCAGGATAGTCCTGATTACTTCTCACATCGCAAAACTTGCTGATGATGAAAAGCATCGCATCAGATCAATGGCAGCATCTTTAAAGGATGTGGACATTAAATTATACGTAATTGGTTTGGGAAAAAATTGGGTACAAGATCAATTCTATAAAGATTTAGAGATGCTGTCGAGAAAGACGGACATAGATGTTTACAAAATGACACGTGATGTAGATTTAGTACAACAAATTAAAGCACCTTCCAAAAACATCGCGCGCTTATACTTAAAAATATCAGACAATTTGGAACTTGATGTGGTGATCCGTACTCTTGGCAGGTAAGTCTACTATATATTAATAAGAGTAATATTAACTTTTATAATATAATTTGATAAATAAAATGTAAACATTATTTTTTTTTACAGAAAACGTAGATGCTTGCAAACAAAGCCATTGAGTAAAGCTACTAATCAAGTTTTGTCAAGATCGACATATTTTAGAAATGAAGATTCTAATGATGAGGTGCATAATATATATCTGAAAAATTCTGTTAATTATATTGAATACCTTGAATCTTTGATTTCTTATCATTTTCTAGACTATCTAATTTACTTGACTAATTGCAGGAAAATAGTGACAATGAGGAACTTAATTTACCTTTTATGATACCAGAAGAAGTTAATTTGCAAACTAAAGAGTTAATCGGTCATGAAAGTTGCGTTTTACGCAAAAAGAACTTTCCCGAATAAAGCATGTACATCCACCTGGAATCAAGATAATTGGCACAAAACCAATCCCTGACGATCTCTTTAGATATCACGTTAAACGAAAGTATTTCATTAGAGCCGATTGTGGTAGCACTCGTAAAGGTAAAGTACATAATATATATATATTATATATATTATCTATATATATATATATATATGAACATGAATATATAAAATTTAATGTGTCTTGTTATACATAATAATACATTTAATTTTTATATTATAATATTTACTTACCATAAAAGTAATACTTTTTTTATTATTATTTTTGCAGATAATTTATTATTTTTCGGCGCTTTATTGAATAAGTGTGCTATTAAAGGAAAAATGATCGTTTGCATGTTTACACTGCGGATGAATACTCAAACTAATCTCTGCTACATGATTCAAATGCTGAATTGGGTGGCTTTTATCTATCAAAAATTGCATACGAGGTATATACACTCTATTATATGTAATAACACAATGATTTAAGATATTTTATATTAATAATGTAATTTTATACTTTAGGTAATATAGGAGATAAGAGCGAAGCATTGCATCATTATGAGGCACAGAACTGGGTAACTGACGAAGAAGTGGCGCTATGGAAAGAAACAATCAACAAGCTTAATATGCAATATCATCCTTATCAATTCAGATCTTACAAATTGGAATGTCAAATACAAATAGTAGAGAAGTTAGCTCTGGATAAAAAACCGGTCCTCCACCAAGTGATCAATTGAGCAGTCATGTAAGTAATATTGCAATATATGTACTAGCAAATAGGAAAAAAAATACAAAAAAGAAATATGCACAGAACAAAGAAATTATTATTGCTGAAATAAAATTTAAATTGAATTATATAAAATTATATGCTTTGTCTCCAGATTGAAAAACCTGTAAGGAAGCAATAGGGTAATGCCTAAATTTAAGGAAATGTATCCTAATATGGATAAATCTGATGGCCCACAAAAAGCTAAAAGGATTAAGAAGAGCAAGTAGGAAATATAATTATTATGCATAATATGTTAAATTATATTTTATAAAGAAAATGATATTGATTTTCGAAGAGAGAAATTACATTTAAAATACATGATTTTATATAATTTATATATAGAAAGAATCATTTCTTAATAGAGCAAATGCTCCCTGATGAATTGAAACCCTGGTGGCTAAAGGGAAAAATATATATTATATTTTGATATACATATATATTTTATATTTCACAAAATATTGTAATCTCACAAAGTTATCAAATTCGTGTTCCTTTTAATAAAATAGTGAAAATATATACTGGTA